AGGGTGAATACATCTCATTACACTGATTTACTGGTAGTCTCGAAACCCTACTATAATACGAATATAGTTTATTTGTATAAAAAATCCACATACGATCCCCTTCCTGCATCAACTTCACTCGTCTACATGTGGGCAGGATAAGCAAAAGTAACCAATAAATGGATAGTATTTCACTCTGCCACCTTAATTGGCCGTTTTTTTGGGTTTGTATTCGTAATGACTTGTTTCTGCCTCTGAAGATGTCCGTCACATGACAGCTGACAGCTCAGCACGAAGTCATCAGCGTTGCAAAACGTTTAGCCGAGGTCTTTTTGGCACACTCCAACAATCCCAATTCGAAGGGAGGCAAATGTATTAATTCTTTTCACACGCTCTTTCAAACTAAACAAAAGATATGCCAGTAGCAAGTTGAGAAGGCATGATCATACAGCTTTCAAAACCCAGATTTTCTCTGCATCTCCCATTGCATGCTTTGTATGACACCCCACATTGTCTAACGGACAATGCTGACTGCTTGTTGGGTCGGTAAGCACAAGACTCGAATGTTGTAGTAACGAGGACTGGTTGGCAGCAGAGATTCCCCAGCCTCTGACCAATGAGAACAACTGCTCCCAGAGCATAGACAACTGTGCCCCAACTGCTGATGGGCCGTCTCTTGAGCTCACTCTTCCGCATCGTTCAGGCACTCTACTGACCACCTCCTCCTTATCGCCAGACAAACTATGGACCGAACAACAGAGCCAACAACAGTGAAAACGAACGTTTTGCTCTACTTTTCTTGCAATGCACCTGCAGGACGAGAATGGCGAGCCCACCGACCCTATGATTGTCACCTTTGGCCAATTCGGTTCACTCATTTATTCGACCATCCCATGTGAACCTAAACACTCGTGTGTGCATGTGTGTGCATGTGTATGCCAATGTCTACCTTGAGACTAAAGAGAGTGTAGCCATGACAACATATTCATCTCCCATTAGTCACGACTCACCTAGCAATGGGGCTTGTTGGACAGACCCAACTGGCACATACACCCCCGAAGACAGACTCCCCCGTTGGCGCCTGGTGGACGGCTTCTGGGGCCAGTGTTGTAGGACTGTTGGCCGAGTAGGGGACACATAGTGACGTGTGTAGAACGAAAATGAAGCCAATTCTGCCCACATCGGCTGTGTCTTTGCCCAACCCACATTACGTTCACAAGCGTTATGCTACTTCGGCTCGGCCGGGCCAACAATAGCTGGTCGAATAACCGACGGTAGAGCTCATTTCGAGCATCAGTGCACACCGATGAGACGGACTGGGCGCACGAAGAGGAGGCGATTTGGTGTGAAGACGTGTCTTGACAAGAAAACACCCCTGGCCGGCTAAACAAGCATAGGAGGGAAGCGATTTCCTTTGGTACCTAACAGGTCTCAAGGTGTTTGCCCTACCGATCGACCAAGCGAGAAGATACAGATTTGGTAAAACACTTAAAGCAGCATGTTGCTAGCTGCAAAACACACTCGGGTTCGTAAATATACGGAAAAAAGTTTTGCTTCGAGGACTCTCTTGTTTCACAATTGTTGAGCTTACTTCCATTTCGAGTAGAAGTGTTGAGTGAAGAGATTCGAAGGTCGGTTCCACCAGAAGACGACTGCCGATTCCTCTTGACCAGCTGTCGAGTGGCTCTACTGGAACATCAATGTTGACACTGTTTCTGAGGCAATCTCCTTCGATTCCGGTGAAAAGGTGCTAAGCTTTCGTCCGTCATTATAAGAACAAGGTATCATCATCACAACCAAATTCAGGCTAACGAGTCAAGAAAACTCACTGGCAAATCCCTAAAAGGTGGTATATATACTCTACATCTGGCCTCCTTGATCAAGTATAAAGTGATTTGGTTAGTTAAGGTCATATGTCAACTTCTATGCATGCGAGTGTGTCTCTCTTTGTATTTGTATGTGCATGTTTGTATTCGCTTATGCACGAAACCCGAAGGACAGCAAAAAGGAACGTCAGTTTTTGGCCATCAAGGTTTGAGTAACCCTATCTCACCCATTCTACATTTAAGTTATAACCATCACTTCGACCTTGCGCAATCGGAGTTCCTTCACTTCGGGTCTTCTGCATAAGCGAATACAAAGATGCACATACAAATACAGATACAGACACACTCACATGCATAGAAGTTGACATATGACCTTAACTAACCAAATCACTTTATACTTGATAAAAGAGGCCAGATGTAGAGTAGATATACCACTTTTTAGGGATTTGCCGGTGAGTTTTTTTAACTCGTTAGCTTGAAGTTGGTTGTTACCTCGCTCGGATGATGTCCGTCGTATGAAGGACGAAAGCTTAGCCCCTTTTCACCGGAATCGAAGAAGATTCTCTCGGAAACAGCGTCAGCATGAATGTTCCAGTAGGCCAATCGACAGCTGGTCAAGAGGAATCGGCCGTCGTCTTCTGGTGGAACGGACCTTCGAATCTCTTCACCCAACACTTCCACTCGAAATGGAATTAAACTCAACAGTACTCGGGTTCGCCTCAAATAATTTTAATAGCCCAGAAAAGATTGGCAAATCGACAGATCCAAGCAGGCCAACCAGGCTGGTCTAGACATCTTTCGAAACAGAGCGCCTTTAGCGTTGAAAGTGACTCTTTTCTCGAGCAAGTGAAGAGAAGTCTTCATTGCATTTGTGAGAAAATGACCGATATCAGCCAGACTGAAAAAGAGTCTCAAACGCGCCCAATCCTCCTACTAGGAACACCACGGAGACTCGAACCTCGATTGTAGAAGTTAGTAAGAACTCACTTTACTAAAACTAAAAATATAAATGGAAATTGTATGATTATATATAAGTTCGTTCGACTTTTCGACAGACTCTTGAAAAGGTCAACCTACCCAAATGGACTAGCAATCTAATTCGTAACTTCCCAACAGAACATGCCCCGAGACCCTGAAGCGCATGTAATGTGGCATAATCCTTGTTGCCTAACTTCTAGACCCATTTATTTATGAGACATAATACAAATAAAACTCTCGGGAAGACACAAATTATTTAGAACTTTTCATATGAGAGTAGGGTTTCGAGACAACCAGTAAATCAGTATAATGAGATGTATTCACCCTATTTCGTCTATGGTGATGAAGGACTGGTATTAGG